TTGCCTTCCATGAGAAAAAACAGATGTTATTTCCATTTTTTTAAATGAAAAAGTAATTAGTTGTTAAGGAAGCAACCCTCATTCCATGTACTTTAACTAGCTTCAGAGGATTGGACTTGATGACCTTGGAGTTCTCCAACTGTAATGATTCTATGAAGTTTGTATTAGAGATGATTCCTAGCATACATTTTACTAGGGAGTAAAGGGGTTTAGTCTTCAACACTCTTCTCCTGGATACCCTGGCACCACTGGAATTCAGTGCCTGTCTCCAGTCTCGGTAGGGTATAAGCTTCCAAGGTGAGGCTGCTCGTAAAACATTGCAAACCTCCTGTGTGTCCAGGCAGGCTTCCCTCCACACCTGCTGCAAATAATGCTGTCAGCCTGGGATCATTCCTAGGTGAACTCAGCTCCTCGGCAAACCCTTCCCGCGGAGCGGAATGTGCTGCTTTTCCAGGATTCGTTTTGTCGTTGAAAACCAAAGCTGTTAACCCTATCAAAATGCAGATTTTTGCCAGAGAAGTTCACTCATTTCTGGCTTTGTTTCTCTCACTAATGTTATGAGATGCAAACCACTGAACTGTCTGCCTGTCTAACCCCACTGGTCTTTATTTTTCACACATACTCCAACAGAACTTTCATAACCATCTTGGCTTCTGTTTCTCTCTTACTTTTAAGGCTGCCCATTCACTGTATGTGAATGAGGTTAAGCATTTCTCTTTGAATAAAAAAATTGCAGGCAATTACCAGGAATTAGCATTGTCTTCCCAGTTCCTGGGAGCTACTGAATGGGCAGAAGCTGAGCAGCTAAGTTTTACTGAGGGTGAATGAAATGAGTCGGGTACGTGGTGCAGAGCAGAGTGGGAGCACTGCTTTAGGGTTACATTTTGTTTTCTCAGCCCCAGAATTGCAGGCTAAAGCCAATATCTGCTGCCCAGACCAATGTCCCCAGCAGATGGAATCTCTCCAGCTGTGCAGAGGCTGTGCTACTTTTATGAATCAGATTGTTTTGCAGTTCTCAGCTATTCTGACCATTAATCCTCAGTAGTTTAAAGGAGCTTCTGTTTCTTTCAACAGAAAATATTAGGCTAAAGCACCTTGTAAGCAATGACAGCTCAGACAGTGAAGATGAATCACAGCATCCAAAAGGTAAGGAAATGCTCAGATTTCATTCTTTACTTTTCTCATCAGCTTTCGTATGCCTCAGCAAAACGTTGAAGAGGAGACCCCAGGAGGTCCTTATGCCTCCTGCTCAAGCTGCTCAGGTGATGCCTTCAGTCCTGATGTCGGCCCAGCAGGGCTGCAGAGAGGTCTTAAAGTCCACACAGACCCAGAAATCAGGTGTGCTGAGCCAGTGCTCTCATGAGTCTGTGGCCAGCAAGCTGCTGAGCTCAGAGGTGTGCTGGAATTTGTACCAGCCCGGCAAGCTAACGCCATCCATTGTTTTCAAGGTTTTCTTGATCAAATATTTACCAAAGAATGGTTTGGTTTGTGTTTCCAGCATTCACTGGTGTCTTCTAGCACCTCTGCAAATGATACCTGAAAAAGGAAATCCCTGGTGCGTGACAGGCTGTAACAATGCCCAAATCCAGGTTCCCACAAGAGGCACGAGCACAAAGGGAACATGGGGCAGTGGGAAGAGAAGATCCTATTGAAAATTATCTCGAAGTACCTAAACCACATGGGGATTCATGGGGTTTTAGGCAGGGTCTCTGTCTCGGCCTGATAATACCTTCTGTATTTGATGGTGTTTTTGGGGACAGCAGTGTTTTTCACCAGAAAAAAACTGATTGTTTTTAACAACCGATGCCAAGGTGGGGATGCAGCTGTTTGTGGTTCCAGGATCTACAGGAAGAAGATAAAATCCTGTGTGATGAGACAGTGCATTATGTCACTAGCTCAGTTCAGTGACTGCTGCTTCAATTCCTCTATGCATAAAATGGTGGGTGGTACCACATCTTGTGTTTATTTGTGAGCTTCCTGTTTGAGCACTGTAGTCAGCACCAAACACTACTTGTCTCTCAGAGACAGTGACCAACCTATAAGTCTGGTAAACCCCCAGTGACCCCTCTCACTCCCATAGAATGTTATCAGGCTGAGCCTCTACACTTTGTGATACTTGATGCTTGTTTTCACTCTGCTTATAGAAGAATCAGCTCCTTTAAAGCCTGGATTGAAGAGGCACATTTAAAGACTTAAAGTACTAAGCCTGAGCTGAATTGTCTTCTTGTACCAAACAGGCCAAAGAGTCAAGTTTTGACAGTTGAATGAATGCAAGGTCATGCCAGTCCAGGCCGTTATCACTGTCAGCTCTAGCTGCAGACACCTAAGCCTGGATGTTTCATTTTACCCTTTAGTTAATTAAACCAGATATTAATTGTAGTCTGCAGTTTACTGTAAGGATATTTTCAGATATTTTAGAATTTCCATGCTATAGCATTATCCTTTATGCCTTCTTAAGGAAAAGTGGGTTTCTAGCAGTCAGCAAAGGATGGAGAAGGCTGTCAGTGCACATCCAGATGAATTTCTGTCTACGTCAAGTATGGACCTTGGCAACTCAGGTGTGTCCCCTGAGCCCAGGAGAGTTTGCATTCTGGGTGCTAGCACAGAGACAGCCTCATTGCCCAGTCTGTGTTCCTGATGGACACGTGCACACCTGAGGTGCAGATGGGAAGGTTCTGAAATCACTGCAGCAAAGCTTCATCTTCCAGCCCACAGCTGATGGAAAGAATGCTGTGACCCAGTTCTTTTTGCTTTCATAGCTCCTTCATTTTACAGCCCCAGAGATGCTGGGTTTGCACTGCTGTGTCAGCTGCCTGACCGCTGGCTGTCCCCATGTCCCTCTGCAGGCACAGAGGGAGCTGAGGCAGCTGGGCAGAGCCAGGAGAGCAGCCAGGAGAGCTGGGTGCAGCGCATGCTGATGGCTCTGGTGGGGGACAGTGCCCTCTTCAACACCCGGGAAGGACGTGCTGGGAAGGTGCACAACTTCATGCTGGGACTGAACCTGAACAGCTGTTACCCACTGTCTCCTCTGGCTGACCTCCTCACGCAGGAGTCCCTGGAGGAGGATGAACTAGATGCAGCTGTAGCAGGTGAGTTTGCAGAAAGCCTGTGTTGCTGCAGTTTATTAGTCACACCAAAATCAGCGAGTTCTCACTGTGATAGTGTCAAACCACGAGGCTTCCAACAGAGGTACCTGGGGCAGGAGCACGTTCTGTGAGCGCTGAGCAGCAGCAGAGGTTGGGAGGTGACTGCACTGTGCAGTGGCGTCTGTCCGGGGCTGAGGGTGCAGAGCAGCCTTACCTTCTGCAGGGACGGAGGCTCTTTGCTTGCAACTGCTGGCAGAGGTGACAGAGCTGCTTTTGTGTAGGGTGCCCTTCATGACATCCACTGTCTCACCCTCTTGGCCTCACCAAAGGGTGTCCTGCTTTGCTCCTTGTCTCTTAGAGATGCTAAGCCTTGGAGTGGACGTAAAACCTTTCCCTGTTCTCCTACAGGGCTTCCCTGTGGCAAAAAAATTTGTATCTCTCCTGCTGTCTTTGCTTCCTCTGAAAGCACATTTCTTATATGTAGAATCAGAGAATCTCCTGAGCTGGAAGGAACCACAGGGATCATCAGTCCAACTCCTGTCCCTGCACAGACACCCCAACAATCCACCCTGTGCTGAGAACATTGGCCAAACACTCCTGGAGCTCTGTCAGGCTTGGGGCTGTGACACTGCCCTGGGAGCTGTTCAGTGCCCAAACACCTCTGGGGGAAGAACCTTGTGCTGATATCCAACCTAACCCTGTTCAGTGCCCAAACACCTCTGGGGGAAGAGCCTTGTCCTGATCTCCAGCCTAACCCTCCCTGACACAGCTTGTCTATCCTTTGCTGACAGTGTTCTCCTGGTGTGAATGCACCTGGCAAACTAGCCACGTTTCAGTGTAACTGATGTGTAGGTGCATCCCCATTTCATGTTTGCTTTGCAAGAATGTGGATGGAAGATAAGAATTTCAGGAAAATATTCATTTGCAAAAGAAGTTCAAAGTCTTCCTGCACTCCATGAGGCCTGTGGTGTCTGGGACAGTGGCTGCCAACAATTAGGAATGGTGTTTGATGAGGGTTTTGAAGATCTGCTGCAGACAGTGTTCACTGCAATCAGTGAAAGCAGATTCATTTCCTGCTGTTCTGCTCCATCCCTGGAGTGTTCCAGGCCAGGCTGGATGGGCTTGGAGCAGCCTGGGCTGGGGGAGGTGTCCCTGCCAGGGCAGGGTGGGATGGGATGAGCTTCTGTCCCTTCCCACCTAACGCAGTCCCTGGGTGCGTTCCATCCGGCCCAGGGAGTACACCTGCCTCTCTGCAGTGCTGTTCCTCACACTCTGGGGCAGCCTGGCCCTCCCAGCCCTCCCTGCTGGCAGCAGCAGCTTCAGCCCTGCCTGCCCTCACTGCTCCCTGGCACGGCCTGTGCCATCGAGAGGGGCAGGGCAGCCGCGCTGATGGGCGCTGTTAGCGTAACAGATGCCTTGGAGTGGCTGAACAGAAATTTCCATCTGGACTCCACTTTCTAAATATTTTTATCATCTCAGAGGTGTTTACAACTGGGTAGTCTTAATATTTATAGTAGTTGTAAAGGAGGCAGGAAAGTGGGTAGGAAATTTATGGTTGGAAAAAATGACAGTTGAAGAGAATTTTGCATAATTAAGACATGTGGTTAATCTTCAGAATCAACTATCAACTTCCTGGGGTTTAATTTCAATGGAAATGAATTGCTGGTTTGACAGAAGGAGCTGCACCTCCGGGACAATTACTGCTGAGTGCCTGAAACTTCTTTGGGTTTCCGTGTCAGGGAGAGGTTTGCCGGAGCTGCAGCACATTTACTGCTGGCTGAAGGCCACGCTCAGCCCTGAGCTGCCGACGCGCAGACCGCGGCGCTGAGGACCTGCAATGCTCTCCTCAAGAACAGTTAAAAACCCCTGAAGTTTCAGCAGATAGTATAAAATGTAATCATTCAGCAGTGTGGTCAGTGTATCCACATATAATTCATTAAATCGCAGGCATTGTGACAGGTGAGACTGTCCTTGTTGCAGGGATCACTGTTGACTTTCACATTCAGTTTTTGTAAAACAAGAAACAACAAAACTCAAGCAAAAATGTTTCTGCAGTTTTTAGAAAGTCTGTTGAGAACTAAGGTTGAATTATTTTTGACCATAATTCAACAAAAGGGGGTAATGAAATCGGTCTGCTTGTGTGAAAAGGAACTGCAGTAATTGTATTTTTACAAGTTTTTTTAATGATGTTGAATTTGACAAACACTAAGAGTGTCGTCGGTGCTGATTCATGGTTCTGAAATGGATCTGGTTCTAAAACAGGTCTATGGACTCACTTAGCCCTTTAGCAATAGGTAATGATTTCACAGTGTTTCTCCCTTGGGAATCAAGGCCAATAGTAGGAAATTGGTGCCTCATTCCTTAGGAAAGTGTCTGCTAATAAATAACAGAAATCAGAAGTGGAAGCATCTGTTCTAGGATCTTGTTTGCTGCTCAAAACCTGCTGCACCTGAATTGACAGGAATAAGAGGTTGGATTATTTTTGATGGATTTTCTTCCCATTAAGAAATCTTTCTTTTTTCAGATTACTTCCAGTGCCAGCATTAGGTGCCGGGAAATTTAACTATACCAGAAATAATTGTATTGTTCTATCAACCATTCCTTAGATTGCACTGCCCTCTACAGTTATGCAGTCTAGTTTTCAATCAGAATCAAAACCATGTGCTGGAGATGTGTTTAGGATCCAGAGCAAGGAAAGACTGTCAGGGGGAAAGGTGTAAGTACTGCAGGGAGCACTCATTAGTGCTTTCATTTTGTAATATCCAGAGCCTTCTATAAGTGCAAAGACAGGAAAATTTTACTGGTTTTGTTTTTTTTCCTGAGCTGCACCCAGAGAATATTTGGGTTAAAGGGGAAACATTATCTTCTTCAGCCCTCAGGTTGGGCTTAGAGATGGGAGAGTGGTTTATACCTCTGTGCCAGTGCCAGCAGTGAGTGGCTCACGGGGAATTCTGCCCCGTGCTTACACTTCAGGTATGGATGTGGGTCACTGTTTCTTTTGGCTCCTGCTGTAGTGGTGAGCGTGAGGTCACCAGGTTTGGTGTAGGCTGGAAAACAAGACTTGGTAGTCCTAAGGTATGGACAGAAGCAGCCACAGACAAGCAGCACACCCGAGCAGGGTCACATCGAGGCCTTTCAGGCAAGCTCTGTTGGGTGAGGAAGAGCTGGGGAGGATGTGGGACGGGAGAGAAGCTGAGAGAAGAGTTTTGGGCAGTGAGGGGATGTGCCCGAGGACTCTCTCTTAATGTCCCATAAACACCTTCCTTTGTGTGTGTGTCCTTAGGGGTGAGGCTGGGGCAAGCCTGGGCATCTGTGCCCTCTGCCTCGAGCCACCGCCGTGTGCGCCTGGCACGGGGTGTGCCCTTGGTGCACTGAAAGCCCTTCCAGCTCTGGCTTTTCACCTCATTCTCCAGCTGTTAGGAGTTAAAGTCCCACAAGAGTTCATGGCATCTTTGGGTTATACTGTACAGCTGAAATCCTTTGCAGTCTCCAGAACTTGGGGAGGCACTGGGAAGCCCATCAAAACTTCAGTCCTTAATTCGTGTGTCGCTGTTTGGTGGTGTTTTCCTGTGTTCTGTGCAGATCCTGATGAGTTTGAGAGGATCTATGAGCCCCTGGATGTGAAGAGCAAGAAGATTCACATCGTGGACAGCGGGCTGACATTTAACCTGCCCTACCCACTCATCTTAAGGCCGCAAAGGGGTGTCGATCTCATTATCTCGTTCGATTTCTCAGCGAGGCCGAGTGATTCCAGTCCTCCTTTCAAAGTAAGTATGACAGGCCATTCCTTCTCTGGGTTCAGAAGTTTGAGTTGACTCAGTTGTATTCTTCCAGTTGGGTTGGCCACACATCTAGTGCTGTTGTAGCTACATGACTGAAGTATTTCCCACGTCAAGGCAAATATTGCCCAGTTCCTGTTTACATCACTCACATGAGACAACTGACACAAAGAAAGCTAATAAAATCCATTTGAAGTAGTAGCTCTGTTGTTTTTATGGAAGTTTTGCTTTCACACTGATTGCAGAATTTTGCTTTAAGTCAGTATTAAACAATGAAGTCATCTGCCCTTGCCCCAGTGCTGTAACTCTGTCCAGCTGTTCTCTGTGTGCTGTGATGTAAACAAATGCTTTCCTGTCATCATCTTGCAGCAATGTGCCTCAGTCCAGCATTGCCAAATGAATAACCTTTTGGAAGCAGGGCTAGCTGTCTGTTTGCATCTCACTAGGATGGTCCCAGCAGTGGCTCAAGCAGGATTCTTCAGTCCATTCAGGCCAGAGCAAAGCAGCAGCAGCGAGACAGGGATTGAATGGTGTGGCTGTTCTCTGTAGCAGGTGTGCTGCACAGCCTGTGCATCCAGACAGCTCCAGCCCGTCCCAAAGGTGTAACACAGGACCACTTGGGTGCTGACAAAGTCAAAGCTGCACTGACAAGACTGTTGTGAGGTTCTCACTTCGTGATGTGGTTTAGTGGCCACAGTGGGATTCGCTCAAAGGTTGCACTCAGTTATCTTGGAGGTCTTTTCCAACCTTAATGATTCTGTGGGTCTCAAAAACAAGACAGTATTTTCTTGAAAATCAGGTGGATTTTCAGAACTGGTTTCTGAGGAGGCTCAGAAACCATGCCTGCTTGAGAGGCAGCTGGCACTCCTTGCGGCCTTACAGCAACTGCAGTTAGAACAGCCAACTTCTCCTTCCTCCTTCTAACCAAGAGACAAACCCCCAAGTGACATTAGAAGATGACAGCAGTAGCAAAAGGAGTTCAAGGTCAGTGCTGTCAAATAGAGATAAGTTTCAGGAGAATAAAAAGTATTTTTATTTATAAAAATACCATATAATAAAAAGGATTTTTATAAGAAGGATTTTCTGTAATCACTAGGTCTCTTGGGGCTGCAAGGAAGAAGAGAGCACTGAGAAAACTTCCTAGTGCTGAGATCCTTAATTTTTCCTCGATTGATTGGGCCCCAGAGTCTTTCTTCAATGTTCTATTTGCTTAAGAATGTATCTCCTTTTTATTGTCAGGAGTATTTTCCCTATCAGCTAAATTTGCTAACACGTCACTGCCATTTCCTCTAAACATCTTTTTCCTCCCTTTTTGAACATGCCACATGTGGAGTCTGTGCAAAAGGCTGTGTACAGCCATCCCTGTTCTTCTGACCCCACACACTGAGCATTCTGCCTCTGTCAGCTGCAATTTTCTGGGTGCTTTGGGGGAACATGGAGAGGCTGATTGGAAGCCAAGTGGCATCCTGAAGGGTCTTCTCCAAACTGTATGTTTAAAAAGGTAAAAAATCCAAGCTCTGCTTGCTGTGCCTGTCCCCTTGGCTCTGCAGAGGGCAAATGCCCCTGCAGGACTGGGCCTGTGGTCATGGTAGCATGCTAATATTTGAGTTTGCTGGGGGAGTCAGCCAGCTGATCTCACTGACTCCACTCCTGCTTTAGCACTTTACACCCACTATCTTTTAATCTCTTGTGTATCTAAAACAGTTGCCCAGAGAAGGGTCCTGTTTCAGTCAGAACCAAGAGTAAAGGTGATGACCTTCCCTCTCCTCCCTCTCACACGCCCTCATTGTGTGCTTTTGAGTCATTATTTACAAATTATTTTGTTTACTGAGTTGCCATGAGCCAGAGAGCCTGTTTTCCAGACTGCTGCACTCAGCACACTTGCCAACACTTGTGGTTCAGGAGCTCTTGTTGGTTTCCATAGCACTGGTACTCCCTTTGCAGGTGAAATTGTGGATGTTTTTTCCATGCTGTCAGCTCTGTAAAGTCACCCTGAGATTTATGGGGCTCTTCCCTTCCTGGGAGTGGTGGTGGAGGCAGGTGGTGGAGGCTGGGCAGGCAGAATTAGGTGCTCAGTTTGCCATACTGGGTCATCTGTAGAGAGATTGATTTGATTAGTCCTTGGAATCATAGGTCATTAAATGGTTTGGGTTGGAAGGGACCTTAACCCTCATCCAGTTCCTCCCCCCAGCCCAGGCTGCTCCAAGCCCATCCAGCCTGGCCTGGAACACTCCCAGGGATGGAGCAGCCACCGCGGCTCCGGGCACCCTGTGCCAGAGCCTCAGCACCTCACAGGGAGCAATTCCTGCCCAATATCCCTCTGTCCCTGCCCTCTGGCAGTGTGTATACATTCCCCCTTGACCTGTCACTCCAGGCCCTCGTAAATAGTCTTTCTCCATCTTTCTTGTAGCTCCTTCAGGTTCTGGAAGGACACAGTGAGGTCACCTGAAGCTTCTCCAGGCTGAATAACCCCAACTCTCTCAGCCTTTTTCACAGCAGAGCTGCTCCATCCTTCTAATCATCTTGGTGTCTCCTCTGGACTTGCCTCAACAGGACCATGTCCCTCCTGTGCTGGGGACTTAATAGTTTCTAAATCGCTTCTCTAAACCCATTTGACCTGTGTCTCTCCATACCTCCTCACTATGCACTGGATGCTTTTATGCACCTGAATCTTTCTTATCTTTTCAGGAAATTCTGCTTGCTGAAAAATGGGCTAAAATGAACAAGCTTCCTTTCCCCAAAATAGACCCAAACGTGTTTGATCGAGAGGGCCTGAAGGAGTGCTATGTTTTCAAACCTAAGGACACCTCCTCAGAGAAGGACTGTCCAACCATAATCCACTTTGTTCTGGCCAACATCAACTTCCGCAAGTACAAAGCTCCAGGTGAGCAGTTCCTCATGCTCAATCCACCTGCTCCTTTATAATGACATGGGGATTACATGATAGAAATATTTTGGCTCTGAAATAACTCCCAAGTGTGTCTGAAGTCCTTTGGGAACTCAAAAGAGCCATTAAAAGTGAGATAATAAACTCTCAGACCTGACATTTAGGTGGTGGTTTTGTATGTGTTCTGTATACAGGTGTTCCCAGAGAAACACAGGAAGAGAAGGATTTTGCAGACTTTGACATTTTTGATGATCCAAACACACCATTTTCTACCTTCAACTTCCAGTACCCCAATGAGGCCTTCAAGAGGCTCCACGATCTAATGGAGTTCAACACCCTCAATAACATAGATGTACGTATGGAGGATTTCAGGGGGCTGGAATGCTGGCTGGGGGCAGTGGGTGATGTGAGGAGAGCCCAGCTCTGCCACGGGGCTTGCTTCGGTGTTTGCCTCACATTCTCATTTGGTCCTTGCCTTGGTTTTGCCATTTTACCACCCAAAGCCATTCAGGGTGGCTCAGCAAAGGTGACTGTGGAGGAAGGAGACATTCTGTTGAGAATTTTATACCACTTCTTTATGTATGATGATTCTCTATCTGGAAAAGAGAAAATTGAAAATTTTCTGTAAAGATCTCTGGAAATTTCTTTATCAACTATCTCAGTAGTAACTATTTGTCATTGATAGTGGCTGTGTCTAGTGACAAGTGTAAAGGAGCATCCCAGATAGAGACATGGAGGTTTATCAATATAGTAAAGAAAACCTGCTACATCAGACAGGAGAGGCAAAAGTGAAGATTTAATCTTGCTCAAGAGAATAATTGTTTTCTATATCCTTTATGGATTTTTTCAGTGTTTTGATTTACCCTTCCGAATTTCTTTGGGACCCAGGTAAATGGTGTGTGTTTTTGTGTGACTTCTGTGCTGTTGGTGGCATCCCTCATGTCTTTATTGCCCAGATCAGAATCAGGAGACAGAATTCACAGTAAGACTCAGCAATGCCCCTGTTGAGTGGTGGAGCAGGGTTGGTGGGAGCAGCAGCTGTTGGCATCAGCAGGGTCTGTCGGTGAGCACGTGGGCAGTGTGTTTGTTCCCGGAGTGAGGAGTTGCTCCTGTGCTGCAGGTGATCAAGGAGGCGATGATGGAGAGCATCGAGTACAGGAAGGAGAACCCCTCGCGCTGCTCCGTGTCCCTCAGCAGTGTGGAAGCAAGGAGGTTCTTCAACAAGAGCAATCTCAACAACCACCACACGTAGAGGCTGCGCCAAGGTCCTGCTCTTCCCAGAAACTGGTTCTGGCTTTAGAACTGGAGTCAAAAAGACTTTACCAGAGCGTCACCACTCCCCACCAGGGCTGTGCCAAACTCCTGAGAATGCTTTCTTGTGACTCTCCAAGTTTCAATGTAATTAACACTTCTTTTTTGTAGAACAGAAAACATTTCAGTGTGTGGATCCCCTGTGGAATGAGTTTATTCTGACTGTGGTCATTGTGTTCAGTGTCCTTTTGTTTTTTCTCCCAACTGTAAGCAGTGGGAGGGGTAATGGGTTTTCAGTTGATGTAAACTGGGCAGAGCTTGAAAGGTAAGATGGAATTGGAAAAGAAGAATTGAAGTCCCCTTGACTGCTGTTTGAGAAGGTCAGTCTACTTCTCGGTATCACCACTCAGCAAAAACCCAGACTCCTATTTCCTTTTTCTCTGTTGACCCCCAAAATTACATGGCTTGAATTCTTGAGCTGCTGGCATCTGTGTGTTAAGTTCTTGTTGGTCTGTGTCTTTCTGACCAAAATGTTGATGCATACATTTGTGGTGGTTTTGCATTTGACCAGGATTAAAATACCCCATTTCTGCAAGGGCACAGTGGCAGTGCTCACTGGGGTGGACCAAACCTGCCCAGGTAGGAGTGTGAAGGAGTTCATGGCCTGAGGGCTGTTCGTAAGAACACATTTGCACTACACTGAGTAATGAGAGACAGTGCACAGCCACAGAGTGTTTGTGTGCCATCCCCACAGGCTGAGGTACCTCTGCAAGTGGACAGGAAATGCAGCTGCACCTCTGAAAACTTTGCTTGCTCAAATCTGTACGTCCGTGGGCAGGGAAGTCATAATAAAGCATTTGTTTGAACAGCCACTGCATCACAGGTCATGGAATGGTTTGGGAGGGAAGGGACCTTAGAGCCCATCCAGTTCCAGCCCTGCCACGGGCTGGGACAGCTCCACCAGCCCAGGTGGCTCCAAGTCTCCATGCAATGTTACCTGATTTAATGACATTTTCTGCATCAATCAGTAGGTTTTATTTCTGTTTGAGTTAATGCATGTTTGAAATCAAGAGAGAAAATAAATGTAACTTATCTTAGTGCTGTGTAATTTAAACATTTTCCATAAATTCTGGAATACAGGAAGGAACTGGTACCGTTATATTATTGTAATATTTTCTTTTTAATGTTGTATTTCCTTTCGGCAATGTAATATTTGTATTTTTTATTTTATAATTTGTACCTACTCTGTTTTATGAAGAGTTTTATCATGCTTTATACAGTTTATATTATCAGTGTTATCAGACAATAAAAAGTAAAAGTATATTTGGCACCTACTGTTTTTAGACAGGTCTTTTTGACCATTTATGTGGTATTTTCACTTTTATTGTGAAGATTTGTGGAAAAACGTGATGATGTGTGGCACCAGTGGAGCAGCTCACCAGAGCTACTGCAGCCACTGGCTCTGGGGATGGTCTGGGGGCACCGTGGCTGCCTTTGACCTTGGCTTTGTTAAGGAGCAGGGGAAGAAGGGAAGTTGCTTCAAGGTGTGTGGACGTGGATCACACATCTGCTGGGCTGTTGCTTCTGTTCACTGAAGACCAGGAGCAGGTACTGCTGCTGTTTGCAGGTACATCTAAAGCTTCTGATCTAAAATGCCTGTGGTGGCAGTGGCATTGTCCCCAGTGCACCAACCTCCTGAGCCACCACCGCTGGGACTGGTGGTGCTGCGGGGGCTGAGCTGTGGTTTCTCAGCAAGTCAGTGGCTCGTGTGCCAGAGTCCCCTTTCCTTGGCTAAAATTAAAATTCGTTCTGAGCTTTCACCCAGAGAAGCTGTGGCTGCCCCAACCCTGGGAGAGGGGATCAGCACCTCGGGGGGCTCTGCTCGGGCTCAGCACTGCTCAGCACTGCTCGGGGCTCAGCTCTGCTCAGCTCTGCTCGGGGCTCAGCTCAGCTCTGCTCAGCTCAGCTCGGGCTCAGCTCTGTGTGCGCAGCAGCCAGAGGAGAGCTCCAGTCCCGCAGCGCTGCACCGCCCCGAGAGA